CAAATGTTGCCCCAAAGAGCTGCAGAATGAATGATATTGTATCTATTGCTATTTTATTGTGTCTAAAGATCGCTTTTTCTGTGGCATGCCTTGAAGGTGGGTTTTCTCTTTAATCCAACAGAAGTTTCCTCTCTTTGGGACTGCCTTAATTAGTTCCATTGCCCTTTTGGTTCATTGCTTTTGACCAGGTTCTCGTATTTGGGCAGCTTATGCAAACACGAAGCTGCTCCAGCTGCTCCTCCACACGTGTGTGTGATTGCCCTTCCATTTGACTCACTCTCCCTCTCTCTCTCTCTCTCTCTCTGTGTTTGTGCTCACTGAAATTTCACACTTTGTCGCTTTGCATATGGTGCGGGGCACGTAAGTGGCAGAGGAGCGGGCAACTGTAGCGATTACAAACGCGCCGACTTGCAAATGGTGGAGCTGCTGCTGCTGCTGCTGCTGCTGTTGGCACTGGTTCTGGCTCTCTGTCTATGGCTCCGACTCACGGCGTGGCAAGACTCTGGGTACCGTACCGCATGGCATCGCGTGCCATTTTTGCGATAATGAAACCGAAAGGCAATGTGCACCAAAGCCAGTCGGCTGTCCATGAGCTTCCAGCACCCTCGGCTGCCTGCCAGCACCAGTATTTGCGGGGCATTCTCGAAACCCGAAATCAAAGTGGAAAGCACCTTGCTTACCAGATGTTTGATTATGTTAAAGTTCCCATTACAAAATATTTAGTTTCGAAATCAAGTCTGAATTTGAGATTAAATTCAATTTCTGTGTAAAATTCATTATTCTCTGAGTTCTGGTTAAGTTTTTATCTTTAAACCTTCCAAATACCCGAAACCAAATGTATTTATGGTTTCATCTGATTTAAAACTCCAAAATGAAAAGCAAAGAGCACTGAAATATAACCAGAAACGGAACCTAAACGGAATGGGAATGGCAATGGCAATCAGTTTTCCCTTTCAACCAAGCAACTAATCAATGGCGAATCCTTGGGATGCTTGGGACGAAGTAACCTCCTTTTTGGCATGCTGCCTGCGCTGCCTCACTGCCAGAAGAATCCACCGATGCGTGTAACTTTTTCAATTAATTTGGCTAAGCTTGAAAGAAGTTCTGAGTTGAGTTGAGTTCCACACTCCGCACACTCCACACTCCACACTCCACACTTGCGATCTCTGTCGTACTCCCCGACACACTCCACTGTTTACGGCTGAGTTATTTCAAAAATGTTTTGCATATCAGATTGAGTCTGAAGCATGGAAGCTCCGGGGCGGCACTTAAACGCCTTCGTTTTTAATTTAATAAGAGCCTTGCTGCAACGACTGCAGCAGCAACTGCTCTGCATCCCAAATGAATGGAGAGGAGAGGAGAGAAGAGAATACAGAGAGCAAGAGACTAGAGACGCCGCGGAAAATGCTGCAAATGCACCTCCGACTGCTGTTGAATTCGCTGCATGTCAAATTTGAATTTAGCTGCATTTTTACAACTGTTGCAAAGAGTATCCGCACTGCTCTCCGTATCTCTCGCTTGCTGCAGGCAACAGTGGCTGTCTGGCAGTGTGGCTGTGTTTGTCTGTTCCTCTGTGCGGCAGCAATCGCATGTGAGCCAAAGTCAGACAGTTGGCAATTTGCATAAATTTAGATTAGTGACATCTGACGTGAGTCTCTGATATGCACAGGCAAAGGCAAAGCTATAGCCAACGAATAGAGTGGGCTGAGTGGGAATGGGGGTCGGGGGCGGGGGCGGGGGCGGTGTCAGTGGCATGCTGCAGAAGCAGCATTAAGTAGGCAACTATGCAACGATTGCCACCTCCTAATACTCGGAGAAGATTAGACTTCTGCGAAGTGCCGCGTCCCCCGTCTATGACAATGGAATATGATTTATGAAGCTCTGAGATGGAGCCTGCAGCTGCCTGAAGCCTTTGGAGCTGTGTGAAAATCAACCGCTCATGTGGAAAATTAATCGCATGCAAGCTCATTATGTGTATTAGTCGACTGTTGGCTAATTGTTGTGGTTGTTCGCAGGAGGAACAGCACCCCAAAGCTGCATGCCAAATCGAGAGCCATATTTCAATCAGTCTTTTCGTGCCGCTTGCCGCTTGTCTTAAGCTGAGCAAAATGAGCTGCAGAGTTCTGTGTTTAGTTGAATGGAACAATAATTCATACATGTACCCCCTTTTATTTAAGGATATGCTGTGCTGTGTGCTGTGTGATTGCCATGTTTCAGCCACATCTTCACTCATAGCTCCCCCTTCATTGTGTTCCAGCACGAACGCAAGGGAATCTCTGCCTTTTTCAGTGCATCCGCGTGTGCGTGCCCCTGGGCCCAGTCATAGCCCAGCGCATAGACGAATGTCTCTCCGTTGGCGCTGATGGCGCACTTGGTGATCGGCTGATCCTTTGGGGCGCTTGTGTATATCTTTTTGTGCTTCACCCAATCTCAGAAGTGGTACATGCCGTCAGCACGGGATGGGCACGCACATCGTTCACCGCATAGACATTCATTCCAGTCTGTTGCCAAGAGGAAGGACGAGGGCTGAGGCAAGGTTTCCGTGTGCTTAGTCACCCTTAAGACATACCCTGATACCCTGTACAATATCTCCCTGCTTCAAGTTTAAATTAGAGCATTTTCTTTCATCTCACGCGTCATCTCGTGGGCAATATTCCAAAATTTGTTTCCACTGTAAGAAGTACATGAGTGTGTGTGTGTTATTCCCCCTTTCTCTGCCACACTCTTCGGCCGGAGTTTATTGGCTTTCGGAGCATACTTTGAAATTTACCGAGTTTCTCGTGTAATGCCTCCGCTATATTGAAATTAATTACAAACAAAGGATGCTCCAGCGACGTGCGCGCCGTCCCGGAGGAGCAAGAACACGCTCTCTTTCTGTTAGCCGACGTCTATATGTTTTCCCTCCCTACAAGACACACTTTGCCACTGACTATTTTTGGTGGAAGCTATTGAAATGAATATTTCGCCAACGGCTGACGGCTTCTAATTTCTGATGTTTGTGTCTCGGCTTCAAGGGGAAAAAGGAAAGCTACAAATACAAAATGTTTAAGCTTAAAGACAGGAAATCTATCGGTCTTCCCTTGAGCGATCCCAAAGCGTAAATTACTCTCTAATAATATTATAATATTACAATAATATAATAATATAATACATAATATATGTACATTTAATTTTTATTATTATATTATTTTTTGGCTGAAATACCCTTCCCCGTAACGAAGGTTTCGCGTTATTTACGCTAAACTTATTTAATTCATTTGGCTTTAATTGTTTTTTGTGGTTTTTTAATGGCATTTTCCTCGAATTGTGCTCTGTTTTTTATGCCATTTTGCTTATGTTTTTTCATGGGCTTTCAAAGGAAAACAAAACAAATATCTCGCGATAATTAAATTCTCAAATGTACATAATAATAATTCAGTCCGATCTTATTTACACTTAATAAATATTATATGCAGAATTATGTTGTTATAAAAAAAAAGGAAATGAAAAACATTTGCCAGCTAATGAGAAATGCAAGTTGTAAAAAATAATGTGAAAATTTAAGTATTTATGGAATTTAAATCTGTGAGAGTGTGCGCTTTTGTTTAAAATTAGTTTCTAAGTCGGAATTTCTATGTACCCTTCAAGTGGGCGGTGGGTGTGATTTCCAACATGAACCTGTTACCAGCTGTTTGGGAAAAGATTGGCCAGATGAGATAATGACATAACGCCGAATATCGAAAAGGCTTTTACGAACACGTATTAATATTTTATATTGTATGTGTTTAAAGGGTATCTATAGCTTCGGTATACCTGCCTTAATCCCCATATTGACATAATCGTTGAAATTCGGAATATTTTGTTTCCCTTTATGCAGAAAACATTTGGCATGGCAAAGACAATGATTTTCCATGTACGAGTGTTCATGTATCCGTGTACTAATGAAATCAAAATATTTATTGACTTTCTGGTTGCTGTGTTGTTTGCCTTAAAGGGGAAATCCCACAAAGTGCAGGGGCAAATCAATTACTTTCCAAACCAAAAAACTAATTAAAAATATATATTTCTAAGCAGAGAAACCAAACGAAATTAAATGAAAGGAAAAAGGAACGAGAGTTTGTTCAATTGTGCAAATAATTTTGGAGCATTTTCCAACATAATTTTCTCTAAGTTGTTCCTTTCTTTAACAGAAAGATAATTGCATAAGCACAAATGAAATGCACGCGTTTGGCCCAACTTTGAAGAAGTTCAACAAGAAAACAAGTCTCAAGTCTCTAAGGGAGAACAGGGTCCGTTCCCTATCCCACGATCCGAAAACCAACACAAAATGTTACGAATCAGCAAAGAAAATGTGAGAAAAACAATTTGCGCATATTTACACATCACAAATATGAGAGAAGACAAGACAATTACAATTTTCCGTCGAGTAAACTCAGTGAGGAATTTTCTTTACATTTTTTGTTTCCTTTCAACTCAAACATGAGTCACGCCTCTTTTATTAGCAAACATTTAGCACAAAATTTGATTTTGGCTCAGACGGCAGAGGATGTTAGGAAAGGGATGCTCCATTTTGTATCCCTCTTCTTTTCGGCGCTTTTTGTTGGGCTCTCGTTGATGTCTAGCTCTTTGTTGGGTTCTCTACGATGTCTAGCCTGCGATGCTAATGAATTTTAAGCCTGCCACAGGGATAAGAAGACGAAAAGGACAGCCAGCAGGCGGTGACAAGCGATAACTGAAACACAACACTTGATTCAATTTAACGTTGCAACAACAAGTGAAGAGGAGCAGTGGCTGCACAGACTGAAACCAATCGATTAGGGATGCGCTGGGCTTAGCCAGAGAAAATCTGAGAACGCTAAAAACCATTTTTAAATAATTTTTGGACCCAAAGTTAAAACAAACGATTCTTCTCAAAATTATAAAAAAAAATGCAAGGAAGTAATCATAAATCATTGGATTCGTGTAGGAATGATTTCTAACCAATTTGTACTAAAATTTCATAATTTTCTTTCTTATTTCAGGTGAAGTTTTGTGTCAAATCCAAGCACAGACTCTACATGCAAGAATTGTGAGTAAAATACTTCAATTTTTATGGGGAATACATTGCACTTTTTAGGGTTACATTTAAGCTTAAATCCTTTGCTAAGAGCCTATATTTGGAATCCATAAACTCCATTTCCGATTTCAATCCTGTTGGCTTAATTCTTTCGATTCGAAGCATGACGCTGTCATCTCTAGGCACAAAATTCATTGGTGTCAAGCGGCGGCTGGAGAAGGGCGGAACTGCGGTTGAAATTAAAAAGGAATTTAAGCAAATTGCTATTGAAGCCGCGTGAAAAAGGGTGTGGGCGTGGGAGGCGGCTGGAGAGAGTAGAAGTGAAGCGTTTGAGCGGCTTTTGCTTTTGCGGTTTATTTGGGCAAAGTGCCAGACCACAGGCCAAAGAGCAGGCCAGAAACGGTACGCTGAACTGGACAAGGGTACAGAGAGGAAGGGGTTGAGCGCGCTGGGCAAACAGTTACTTCCTCAATCAGTAGGCAACATGGCATTGGGATGAGAGCGAGAGAGAGAGAGACTGTGGCAGGGGGAACCTCTCTTGTCGTCTGGTGTGGCCGGGCGACAGTTTAATTGGGTTAGCAACGTCAACGGCCTCTCTGTTCATTGCACTGGACATCATTGGCACTGTGGTGGGCGTGATCCCCATCCGCCAATTCGTCAGACTTACACACACACTCATCCCACCCCTCTGCCAGTACATGCTTTTATAGGCTCCAATGAAATCGATTTCCATGTGCACTTCGCACTACCTATGGGTTTGGAATATTTTCCATCTATTCCATCAATACTTTCCACCCACTCTAATGCTCACTACCCGCTGCTCATCAAATTAACTGGCTACTCCGCCTTCTCATCTGGTGGATATTTTTGTTTGTTTTGGGCTGTGGCCAGCATCGACTGTTGCCTCTCCTCTAATTAATGACACTTCAATGGATGATTTTACCTGTTTACCCCACCTACCACAACGCCTACTTCTATTCCCATTCCACATAGGAAATACTTTCAGATCGGCAATGTTTTTGTTTACTTCATTTGGCAGTGTAATTCAATAAATTCATTGCGAAAGTCTTGAATTAATTAGAGAGGTTTTCTGTTGAAACTCAAAGATTAACGCTTTCAGTCTCAAAGATTCTGAATTTTAAGCACCATCCTCTGGCATATATAAAAAAGATTTTCTTTTAACATTTTAAATTTCCTGTCCACTTGTGGACTTCCACCCATCGGAACCTTGATTTTTTCTCAGTAATTATCATGTTTTCAGACACACAAATTGGTTGGGTGGCTTTTTGAAAAACATTTCGCTCAATTTAAGGGAAAACTTTGCCCCAGTACCTGCAGGGCCCACGTGCACGGCTCGTCCTCGAGGGGACGGGTAAGTGCTATTATTTGTTATTTGGTAAATGCAACAAATGCAACACTAGCACACACATCCCCCCCAGCAAGGGACTCTGTATGTGTGTGTATGTGTGTGTCGTCCATAGACACCCGCAGAACCACAATGACAACAACAAATTGCAATAGCCAGCCAGGACGCAGGACACGGGACCCTGCAGGTTCAGGCGTGGCATCATAATTAATTCAAATTTAAATTTCCTTTTGGCGCATTTTTGCACGCGCCATTTTACATAAACACAGAACGACGGGTGCACGGTGTGGGATGTGGGATGTGGGATGTGCGGGGTGCGGCATGACACGCCCACATGTGTGTGTTGTATGTGGCAGTAACCCCTTGCGTATCGTATTGGGTTGGGGCAGAGGCTTCAGGATAATAAACTGTTTAAATATTTAGTTGAAACGAGTTTTTAATATTCGTTTTTGCGCATTTAGCAGCTGCCAGAGCTGCCAGAGTGGTCACCGCGAAGGGGAAGGGATAAAGTCGCCAAAAAGCTGGGGAAAAGTGTAGTGGGAGAGAGGAAACGAAGCAGCAAGGGACGCTTCTGGGAGTAAACTTTTGGATAATTACAGACGCTGATGACGATCCCTTGCTGAGGCGAAAGGAGAAGTAGGTGTAGTTGGTGTCCTAGACCGACTATTAATTTTTAATTACATCATAAGCGGTTTATCCATTTTACTTGTGGAGAAAGTGTTCTTTTGGATAGGAAAGTCATTAATTAATGTGCAGTAAAACTCTGGTGATTAACTTCAATACATGGGTATACACATACTTCACGGAGAATAATATCAGCATCTCATTTTCCGATATTTTTAGTATCTATTCTTTAAATTTTCTCTTGGTTTTGCATTTCGTATTCACTTTCCAATTGCAGAAAAGAGGCCGAAACTGAATCCATCAGACATAGGCACAACCAAAACAACAAACGAAAATTGCCTTCGAATGTTAGATACCCCATAGGAAAACATTCATTATTTGGTAGATAATATCTTGGAGGACAAGTACAAGTTCTACCTCTTATATCAACTTTCATTGGTAGTCTCTACCATTACAGGGTAGACCTAGCCATAGTCAGAATTTACATGTTTTTCCTAGCGCAATTAATGTAGCGGTCAGTGGAGAGGGCGGTTTCTGGGGAGGCCTGCCTGTCATTTGGCTGAGTGCTGGGGCACGATATCTCCTGCAGCATCCTATGCATGGACGAGGTGCGAAATGTGGCACGCATCGTGTGTCTGAAACCTGTCTAGACGGAGTCGCATTCGCAGTGCCCCGTAGCCTAATGCATTTTCTTTACATATTTATGATCAGCGTAGACGAACAGCTGCGTGTTTGACCCCGCGGCCACAATTTCCACTAATAAATTACAAATTGCATAAGCTGTGGAGCCGTAGGCTGAAGAGAAACTTATTTCTCTATCAAAAGAGAGGTCCATCTACAAGTCTCTTTGATAGCAATGATTATTAAATGGATTTATCTTTAGATATAATTATATATTCTTTTTTATAAATTGTGTGTTGATTTTTTTTTTTACTATTTCCATTGTCATTTTTTGATTTTTTTGATAAATAAAAACCGCAAAAAGGGGAAAATAATGTGAATATAAAAATAGATAAATTCCTTATTGAATTCATTTTGAGTGTTTTATGATATCTGAGTTATGGTTTCTATGTCGAAGGCACTTAATTCCGAAGATGTACGGCCCTCTGTTCGTTCGTCTTAGCCCTACCAGTATTAATTATATTATGAAGATAAATTCTAAAATCTAATATCTGGCGCCGCAAAGTTTCGCAAACAACCGCCAATCAGTCAAGTCAAGTCAGCCAGACAGTTGCTCCTTCCAGCAGTGTTCCTTGACATGCCAACCAGCTGTAACTCCCGGCCCTGGTCCTGGTCTTCTAACTGGGTCGAGAGCGGTTGTTGTTGTGCGTTGGGTTTTAGCTTAAAATGCTTTTAGGTTTACGTAAAATGCATTTCGCCAGCAAATGACGCGCGCCTTTGACTGACTGCCATTGTAGTTGTAGTTGTTGCGGCAGCAAGGATGCGGATGCCGAGGAGGATACGGATGAGAATGGTGATGGTGATGGCGATGGCTTGCTGGCTGTGCGGCAAACAGCCGACTGACAGCCGACAAAACCCTAATTGAAATTGTGCTGAAGAATGGAGTTGCAGCATGTTTGGAAAGCTAAAAATTGAATGAGCGTTTGATAAATGCCATCTCCGTAGACAGTCGTGCGTTGTGCGGCTCACCTATATGAGGGGAATCCTTGTCTAGGAACTGCTAACGTTCATGTTGATGGCCGCCTTTAAGGCTTCCAAGCAGGACTCGGATTTGCCGGATTCCTCAACGCACACATGCCAGGACTCCTCGTCCGCGCTCTTCTTGCACTTAATCACTTGCCGCTCATCGGAGAGTAGGCTAAGGAAGCTGGGATATTCAATGAGCACAATATTGCCATGAGAATGGGCCACTTCCACAATACGTTGCAAGTAGCGAATACAGACCCATTTCTGCAAGAGTGCAAAGCATTAGTGGATCTCATAGGTCGGGTATTAGTTGTACAGGGTCTTACGGAATCTGTGGGTTTAGCTGCATAGATGTCGTTCATGTAGGAAGCCGTGACAAACTGCCAGGACACGAACTCTGCCAGCTGTCAGGGATATACATAGTTATTAGATAAACCGAAATGGAATCTGGAATAACTCAGTGCAAACCTTTTCCAAATGGCTGATAATCAGCAACGACTGTTTGGCCCTATAGCTCAGCGCCAATTGGAAGGATATCATTAGCAGGTCCTGGATATTGTGATCGGATTGGCTCCAGTAAATGTTCCTGTCATCGCCAGCCTTACGGATGGATGTGCGCACGTTACGCAAATCGAAATCAAACTCCTGCCAAAGGCAAAACCAATGAAAATTTCAGTTAATACTTGCTCCAAAACTGCATCGTTTACCCCATCTGGCAGAGTTTGTAGTCCTTGGTTTCCTGGCACTAGGAACCACACCGTGTACTTATTCATGGTTATGTACTCGAATGTGCTGCGCACTTTGTTAAAGACTTGCAGCACGAATTCACGCTCCGAACGGCGCACAGCCTCCTGGACGGTCACACAGGATCGGGCCAATTGGCATATGACATTCCCTTCGTCCAGGTCCTGGCGTTCAAAGAGCTTGACAAAGGTCTCGAACGGATTGTCGGGGGTCCTACAAAGAAATCGAAAATGCATTTGCTAATGAATGAAATGAATTCCGTGTGATTCGTTACCCACTGGAAGTTTTTGTAGCTATTGGCGTCTGCCTGGATGATTTGCAGCCAATTTCCGGCACACTTGTCCTCCAAATCCCACAGATGGATGGTCGAGTACTGGGCCACCACAAAGAACCGGCCGTGAAACTCTTCCAAGCGGCATGGAATGCTCGTGCTGCCATTCACCGAATAGCTGACCCACTCCAGAGCTGCGGGCTTATCGAAGCGTCTCATGACCTTCACTTCCGTCACTTTCTTTTGCATTTTGTCCCTTTTGCGTGCCTCGCTGCGCAACTTTTGATCCTCGAACCGCCGTGCTGCTTCCGCTGAGGTGGATGCCGTCATGTCCAAATCGCTTTCGGGCTCCTCCTCCTC